ATTGAAGCTTGAATTCTGTCCCCCAAGTTTTATGTATTAGAAACTTGGCCCCCATTGGGACTGTTAACAGGGTGGGAAATCCTATGATGTTAATTGAAAGGTGGAGCCTTGAAGAAGTGATTAGACTGTAGGATCACGCCACAGTGAGTGAATTGAAAATGGTGGTCAAGGGCGTGGTTCAGAGGGCTTTGAAAGAAGAGAGGGGAGAGTCTGTCTCTCTCTGCTGTCTCTGCTCCACCATTTTCACAATGTGACACCCTGCTGTCACTGAAGTCATCACCAAAGAAAGCCTTCACCAGCTGTGTTCCCTGGACTTTGGGCTTCCCAGCCTCTGAAACTGTAAGCAATAAATTTTGTTTCCTTATAAATTACTCAGTTCCAGATATTTTGTTATAAGCAACAGAAATGGACTAATAAAGCTCCAAGTGTGATCCATTTGAGATGAAAACAGGATAATGTTTAGAGCTGGGCATTTCTGAGTTGGGATTATACAGTGTACATAACAATGTCAGAATTATTTTTAGATTCTTGATTCTGATTCCAGATGTTTTTCAATATAAGTAGACAGGGTAGATTTAAATAGGAAAGTTAGTGGTGGATAACATAGCTCAGTACTTCTTCAGCTTGGTGGATATTTTGAAAAATTATAAAGTATCATAAACATGTGAGTGTAAATTGATCTTGTGAACAGTCGTTATTTATACCTAAGGTGACCATATGATTTATCATTCAAATCATGGACACTGTGGTGAGTGAAAGGTTTGCTGTTAATAATTATACTTTATATATAATTATACATAATATAAAATAATAACATTATTTAATGTTATATTAAGCAATAATATAATTATATATAATTATAATTATAATGGGACTGTCTCAGACAATTTGGGACATATGAACTTTTTATTTATACCAGGTGAGTAGAAAAAAATATTTATTCAGTGTACCATAGTTCTTCTGTAACTTCTTTTTAAGTTTTTCATTAGGTGCCACTATTTTGTACTATTTGTAGGGAATCCTCTCTTTGAAAGGAGACTTTCACCATAGAGGTTCAGAAATGGTCAGATAAATGTAGAAAAATTATCACGTGTGCCAGTGGCAGTAGATTTCTGCTCTTCTCTATTTATTTATTTTACCTGCCCCCATCTGATCCCATGTGAGTCACAAAGAGGTGAAAGATCACAGGACTTCTCCAGAGGAAGAAAGATTTTGGGTGTGGGGGAAGTCTATTTTGTTGTTTCTTAGAGAAAGCCATTTTGTTTACTCCTTTCTCCTGGCTCATGCTCTCTGTCCAGTAATTCATTAGTCAGTGTAGTTTTCCCTTTTTCAGTAAAACAACAACAACAACAAAAAAAACCCATTAAGCTCAAAAACAAGCACATGCCCAGAGCCCAGGGTTATTTTCAGCTGTATAAAAATAGCCTTCATATGCTAATTCACGTACAATGTTTCAAACAAACAAAAATCAATATAATCATTCCTGTGTCACTAACAAGCTTTTGATAAAACCGTTTGGGTGAAGCTTCTTAGGCTTATTATAACTTGGGGACATCTCCTTTTTGACATGCAGGAATTGATATGATAGTTTATATGATTCAGAACTGGAGATAGTTTATATGATTCAGAATCAGAAGACTGCCTGGGTATCATTCTACCAGACTCAGCTTAGAGAACTGGTTACTGAGCTCCTGCAGCTGAACTGCTGGACTGCTTCCATAAACTAGTAGGAGGTTGACAGGAACCAGAATGATTTATTCAAGTCCACAGGATTTGGGTGGCCTTGAGGTAAGGGAGGAAAGAAAGGGAGAGAATAAACCAAAACAAGTTGAGACTGTGTTGGCTCCACCATGTAGCTGTACAATAGGGGTGGTAACTCTTGCCTGGTCAAGATTATGAAAGAAAGTCAATGTGGAAGCTCCCTTTAGGGTGAAATGTTTTATGCAAATACAAGCATGTTCTGTCAAGAAAGAGAAACACGCAGAGTTTTGTAGACAAACCTTTCCCTGACTTGATATTCACCTTTCTGAAATGTCTACAGAGAACCTTTTCAAAGACACAACCTGTCATCAGTAACCCTGATCCTCTTAGGGAAGGAAGGTGATAGCCCATGCCTTTTAAGCAGGCATGAGGTAGAAATCAACAGTGAAAGCAGCTTTAACTGCATGAAGAAAGGGACAAAGGTCCCTGTACTTTGGTCTCTAAGTTAACAGAGAAAACCATCAGCAGGACTTTGCTTGGGCTGGGTCTTCAAAGTCATAGTCCTTCACAAGATGTTTTAACAGTCAGTATAGTCAACAAAGCAGTCAAACTAGTTTTCTGTTTGAATGAACCCATTGTTGAATTGTTTTGATTTCTATTTTGGGTCCACTCAACCATCAGAATGGCTAATGTATGTGAAGAGTCACTGGATGTCGGGCTGAGCACTGTGGATGGTTTGCTTCCTGATGCTTAAATCGAATTAACAAACAAAGCGAAAGTGGAGTTAATATGTGTTCCTGTCCGAGGCATCAAATGTGGGCTCAAAGTGGCTGTGAAGTTCAAAACTATACAAGGACAAGTTTATGTACTTCGGATTTTAATTTTGAAAGGATTTTAACTTAGAAAGCAACTAAATGGCACTCCGTGTTAGAATAAAAATTTATATCTATCCTCTGAAACACTAAGAATCATAGATTCTTGTTCTCTTACTTCTTGCCAATTTGCACACTCGTTGCCTATTTTCAGAACTCTCTTGGATAATTCAACTGAGTTTGGAATTGAAAAACCAAAAGTATTCTTATGTACCTTTATTTTTTCCTGCCCAGTTCTTACAGGTCTGGGTTCGTATCATGGTCTCCTTTGTGTGGCTGGGCAAGTTAATTAATCTTACTGTGTCTTATTTTATTCAGTATAAAATGGGCATTATTATTCCTATGTCACAGAGATCCTATAAAGATGAAGTACAAATAAAAAAAAAGAGAAAAAAAGAAAAGAAAAGAAAAAAGAACAAAAGAATAAATAAAAGAAGATGAAGTGCATAAAGATCTTGGCACAGCTCCTTGCTAGAACGTGCTTTAAAATGTTAGTAAATGCTACCATCAGGGCTGCTGTATAGAGCTGTGACCTATTATGGCTCAGGCTTCACCAGCTGGTGAGACCTTAGCTTTGACCATCAAGCTTCACATGTCTGCCACGTTTAGCTCTTCAGCCACCTCCCATCACTCAACAACTCACTTACCAGAAGATCCTTCCCAGGCTGAGGTCTTCCTGACTGGAAATCTCCATCCCTAGGTCGGCTCATGGCTGTTTTCTTTAGGTTTTAGCTCAAATTCCACCTGAGGAGGCTCTGCTGGACCACTAACATAAAGGAGATTCCCCTCCCTGGTCACTGTCCCATATCTTGTTTTATTTCCTTCATGTCACATCCCATTTTCAAAATCATCTTGTTCATTTGCTTACTTATGTGCTGTCTGTCTCCCCCCCAACCAGGGTGTAAGTTGTCTTGAGGGCAGAAATTTTGATGTCTTGCTCTTGTATCCAGAACCGTGTGTAGCACATAATAATTGCTCATTAAGTATCTTTTGAAAGAATGAATAGCAGCCTAAGTCAATTATTAGTATTTAAAAATCCATAAATGCTTGTTCTTATTGAAGAGAAGCTGACTTAATTCAAGGTAAATATTCTTCTGCTCTCTTGAATCCAGTTTGTAAGCTTTCTTTCTGCTTCTCTCCAAACTTGAGCACTCACAGGGTACAATTTTCATTTTTTTGCTCTGTTTTATGCTTGAAGGTGTACAAGAGCATGAGCTCTGTAAGCAGGCTACAAAGGCAGGAATCTAATTCCTCCCGGCTTTGCTGTGTGTCCCATTTGTGAGCCAATAAAATATGCTTGGCCACATGTTTATCCCAGCAAATAAACGTGTGTCTATGGAATGGAAATGTATCTGTGCTAAATCAATTGTGAATGTTTATTCAAATAGACTTAATTTTGTGGCTATATCTTTCTAGCTCTCAAGATACAAAAGCAACACTCCATCTGTAATTGCCACTATTTTACAAGCTGGTATTTTTAAAAATCAATGTCATTTTGATACACATACTTGTGTATATATTTTAACTATATTCTAACCTATTTTTCCAAAGATCAAGTTAAAATAAATATTGTTACCTGATAAAAGTGTCTGTGGTTTCATTTATTTATTTTTCTAAAATCATATGGATGTTTTTCCTTCCCAATAAATTGGTTTCAGTTTACTTCCAAATAAAATTTCTCATATTCTGATTTTTAGATGGAATTATCCTAAAATTCCTGAATTACTTTGCAAAAATCACTTTCCTCAATAAAAATCAAAATAGTAATAATGCGAGCTAAATTATAATACTTTTTACAGTTAAATGCTGTGTTCTTGATACCTTTATTTTTTATCAGAGTATTCTTAAAATAAGTGATGTATTTGTAATAATCATGGTTAACTGCATTAAGGAATGAATAATTTTCAGCTGGTGGTTTTTGACAACCAGTGACACATCACCTAGAGCAGAATTAGCACAGAATAGGAGTTCAATAAATATCTCTTAAATGAATCTTTAGCAGGTTATACAATATTTAGCATGCTTGAGAACATAAAACATTTCAGAAATATAAAAATCAATGCAGTTTGCTGAATTTGGAAATTGTGTCTTTTTCGCATATAACTTATATCTCTGACCTCATTTATAAAGTATTGACATCAGTTCTCAAGCCACTAAATTTTTTTCTTCAAGAAGAAACCCGTACAAAAGAAGAGAAATACAGTATTTTCCATACACATTTGGAAAGCTCTAAATGTTCTAACATTCTAAAAGTTCATGATTTCAAATGCTGAGTACTTAGGCGAGTAGCACTGGTTTAATGCATGGGGTTTGTTTTTGTCTATGTTTTTTAATACTGAAGCCTCTAAAACGTTCCCAAACAAAAAATTCTGAAGGCCTGAAATTTAGACTACGACAATAATTAAGAAAATGCGGAAAGGGCACTGGTTGATTTTTAAAAACTATTTTAATACAAGATTAATAGCAATTTTCTATCCAAATCAGAAATGAAAAATCTTAACCGAAATAATATTCATTTGACAGTCACATAAAATTTTAGTTTTGATTGGTGCACACATTTATCCTGCACATATATTATGTATATGCACACAGAGACCTCACTATTATGCCATCCTTAGGTGTTTTTCCATGGAAGTACCTCATTACAAGGCAATGCCAAAGATTCTAGTAACTACTCAACTTTGAATGAAGTTCTTAATGTCTCCATGCTAGGCTGAGTCCATTCTAAAGCAAATCATGATACAGCAAGTCTCCAGAATGCATACAAATCAATACTCTATTTGTATAAGTTGGCCTAAAACTAAACACAGGCTAATGTCTCCACCAAGGAGGAACACATCGCAAATTTATAAGTTATGGTCTCCTTTACTCTTCTGTTGGCAAAGCTATTTTTTTTTTTTTTTTAAATTACAAGTCAGGTCTGTTAGTGACTAAGTAAATGAAAATGAGTTTGAATTTCTGCAAGTTTTGAATAAGTCAAAACTTGCATTTGCTAACACTTCTATCCTTAATCAAACCATGTGATAACTAGCCTTGCAAAGAAAAGTAATAAAATAATCACAACTCAGGAATTTGCTAAGTTTTATTCCTCCTTGAGACTTTAGTTGGTGTTCAGTCTATAGCCAAAACACATATGTAATGGCAAAAGAATTAAAGTAGGCTAATGTCTGCAGCAGGATATAAATTAAATATCAGGGTTCTGCATCCAATAATATTTTCAATGTGTTTAATTTAAAGAATGTTACTTTGATAACTATTACTCCTTGTTGATGAATAATAGTGTTTTTCAGTGTAGACAAAATAGTATTTTCTATCCCTTACATATAAAGCAGATGATACAAGTTAGTTATCTTATCTGGTTAAATCACTGTAAGGGAGTCATATTTCTAGTGCTAACCATGTTGTATGATGGCTGTGAGCAAAGTACTAACTTGGCCCTCATTAAAATGACAGAAAGTTGTCATGGTTGTCCTTCAGTACAGAACCACGAACAGAGCTCTTATTCATAAATTTGCAATTCATGCTTCTCTGCTAAAGACTTTAGCCTCTGTTTAGCTTTTGTTGTGACATATACAAAGTATAATATACATCAATTACAGACGTGTATTTCTGTTAGAAAAATACATATTATAACTAAAGAACATGTAAATAGAGGCACTTCAATAAGCTAAGTGTTTGCAGTTATGAGCATCACCCACCAATTTCTAGTGTCTGATTTCAGTGAGCCCATTTCTCTCTACTCATAACAGAAGTTATGACGTGACTACAGAGTTTAGGGGACATCAGAGCAAATGAGGGCAGGTCATGAAAAATAACGGAGCATCAACACATCCCTTATCACTGTGCTGAAATGAGAAAAATTAATTTGGGGGGGTTCCATAATACTTACTGAAATGGGGTAACTAGATTAAACTAAATCCCTTAGGGAAAGAAAAAATTCTCATGTTTAATTAGTCTGAAAATCACATGACATTGTAGTATGATGATAAAAACCAGGAAGTACAAGGTGAATAGTATTTTGACCACATCCATGCAGGATGACTGATATTGTGGCATCATTAACTGATAGTCATTTCAGCTCTCTGCCTGGCTCATGTGATCACTGTATCTCATCAGTAGGAACAATATTAATAATGAAGGTGTTAAAACAATTGAAGCAGGCCTTTATATATTATCTGTATGTTTAGTACGTACAAAACGTGGGGTCACATTCATTTATATAATGTGTATTCATACACATGCACACAACCTTTTGGGGGTGAAAGCACAGGAAAAACAAGGCATCCTGATCTATTTCATAGAAGATAATGCAGAAATATTTTAAAAAGAAAGACTTGGAGTTTAAAGCCATAAAAACAAGTTATTACTCAAATATTCTGGAAAATCAAGTTTGATACAAGTTGTATTGCACCTTAATTATTGGAGAAAGACAATACTGATTTCTGAACAAACAATGAAATGAGCAACATAAATGATTGGTCCTTCACAGAAATGTTTTATGTGTAATTGGTGATAGGAAGCCCAAGTTCGGCAGTCAAATGGATGGTTTTCTAGAAGTAGGTAATGCTGAATTAGATTAAGTGTTAATTTCATTAAGATTTAAATGAAAGGATGCCACAAAGTCTCTCAGAATCCTACATGTCATATTTCATTAGGCATAAAGTAGCAATAAATGCTTGTAAATACTTTTTGTTTTGCAAAAGTGCTCAAATATACTTAATACTATTGTGCCGCATGTGTTCTACTTAAATGTGATGACTAAATCAATAACTAATTTTAATTTTGATGAGAATAGAGATAGAAAAATACCATTTACATGTCAATACTGTCAATGAGTTAGTTAAAATGTGACTGGCATACTATGGTGTCTTGAAACATTACTTTACTCCAGATGCATCATAAAAACCAAGAGACATGTGGATAGCCAACTGCATTCATAAAGCCCCAGTTTGGTTTATTTTGCTTTGCTCTGTCAGGGGGAGCATAGGGCCTGGCTTTGGCATACCTGGTCTATAGGTTAGGTTGTGGCTCTAACTTTGCCTCTTGAGTTAGGTCATTTACCTAAGTGCCAAGCAGGAATCCTAGGCCGAAGGTTTTTTATATGAAAGCAATGGTTTTTCGTGAATAACATTCTTTACACGTACACTTTCCATCACCAGTGAAGTCCTGCACACCCATGGTTCATCCCATGAACTCGGTACAGCTTCGAGCACCCAGGACAAAGCATGCTCATGTGAAAAGGGTGTGCTCTGGTAAACTTTTAATAAATGGACAGTTAGATACGTAAAAAGTTCTCTTTCTTGATTCTTGATGCTCACAGATCATTGAGGAATCCCTTCTCTGAGCAGCACAAAACAAGAAGAGCTGGTTGACAAAACATTTTTGTTACAAAGGTGTGTCAACCCTGAGCTTGGAATTAAGAAGTTAAAATCTGTGATTTATATATATAGATATAAAAATAGATGATCATACTAAGACTAAAAAAGTGAAAGAAATCTCCATGTCAATACTATATATATTTTTTGTCTTGACTTTTTTTGTTGTTGTTGTGAGTTATTTTGTAAGAGAATGCCCTTGTGATGGAAAAACCAATTGACACAAAGCAAATAGTTAAAGATGAAAACTCACATATGGATCTAATCGTTTATCAATTCAGTAAAAGAACTCTTTCTTTGGGAGGGTAATGAGCACAGGGGCAGAAACATCTAATTAATGTCAAACCTGTGGCAAAAGCAGAGATTATATCAGTGAAGATTATTTTCAATTGAAACTCTTGAGGATGAATTGATGGGTGTGTCTACTAAAAACTGAAGATGAAGGAAGAAAATGTGTGCCAATTGTGTACAATGGACAGACATTAAGAGAATTAAGAAAAATGTGCCATTACTGAAATTGAAATAGGGTGGGTGAGAGAGAGGTGCTGAGTTGCAGTAATTTTTGCTCTCATATTAAAGATGGAATTCTAAATTTAGTATCAGTACCTCCAAATCAATTTGATGTTGTGTGGTTAGAGTGCAAGATGATATGTCCAAGACAATGATGTATTTTCACTACATTTAAAAAAATTTCAAGTTTTCTCCCCATAAGCCTTTTGTAAACCCGATTTGTCACAGAAAAGCTTACACTGGGAGTTGGCTGTCAATGCTAAACTGATAGCATTAACATTGCTTTATTTTTCTCTCCTATCTGCTGCTTTGTTAAAAATGCAGTTATCTTGGGTTTGGCCTGATTTTACAAGAAAAGTTTTTTTCTTCCTATCTTTTTTTTTTTCTTTAATGGGAAAAAAAAACTCACAACGTGAGATTCCTTTACTTCTGCAGCATAAAAGCAAATGAAGGTAAGAAAACCTCCCGGTACGAAAGATTTGAATAAGAATTCTCACTAGAATAAACAAGGTCCCCACAGACAGCTGAAGGGAAGAGGAGGCAGTTCAGCCTGGCACCCGGTACTCTTTGGGAAAACAAAACGGGAGGCAGGTCGCAGTACTGCTCTCTTCTCATAGAAAACGGTCAGTTTTTGTGGCATGGTCCATTGTCCAAGTATGTAAGAAAAGAAGTGAGTTGGCCATTCAAATAGCTAAAATGCAGTTTTATCTGACCCAAAACCAGGATTATCTGCACAGTCTCTGCAATGCCAGGGCAGTGCAGATGAGAAGCCACGAGAGCAGGGAGTCGCTCATCCGGGCTGCAGAAGAGTCCACTTCTCTCCGATCAGGATCAACTGCAGGGGCCTCTGTGGTGACAAACTCAAACTCCGTGGGGCACACGTCATCCATGCACCCACTGCCACTCCCTGAGCCGCTGGATTCATCACCTGGTGTGGAAAGATTGAAAAAGAAAGTTGGACGACAAACCGGGAAAGAGTGGAGGCAAAGAACATGACAGATATGGGCTTGGTGGTGGCTGCGGGGATCTTTCCATCCAAGGGTCCCCCACCTCACCCCTACAGGTTTGTGTTTAATGGGCAGGTTTGCGGTGGGTGGGTGGACTGTACAGAAAGAGGTGATGGAAACACAGTATTAATTGAACGTGTGAACCCCAGACCCAATGGGAGGCCACACCTTCCGTGGTGGCATTAGAAAGATATTTCTTCTTCTGGCCAATATTTAAATTACTTTAAGACATTCCATTCTTTGCTCTTTTTTGTAGCTCAGAGTTACTGTTCTCAGCAGATAGCATGCTTTTAAAAGGATTTTAAAAGAATATTTTAAAGGAAAGCATAGAAGAGGAAAACAAGCACTCTAAATAGGAAATTAGAGGAAGTAGGAAACTGAAGAATAGTGTGGAAGGCATATACTATTATTACTTTGGCTACGTTTTCCCACCTGTGTTCTCCTTCTAAGAACAAGGACGGACTTCATCTCAACCAGTCTCTCCCTTTAAAGGGGTTGACAAGCCATGGCCTGCTGCTTGTCTTTGTATGGCTCATAAAGATTGGTTCTTATATTTATAAGTGTTTGGAAAAAATCAAATGAAGGATAATATTTTGTGACATGTCAAAAGCGTATATGTGAAATGCAACTTTAAGTTTCTGTATATGAAGTTTATTGGAGCCCAGCCACACCTGATCATGCATGTATTATTTATAGCTACATTTACATTACAACAGCAGGGTGGGAGGGCTGTGATAGAGACCGTATGGCCCCTAAAGCCCAACATATTTAGTATCTAGCCCTTTACAGAAGAAGTTCACCATTCCCTGCTCGAAGTCAGTGCCCATGCAGCATATGGTCTTAGGGGGCGACTTCCCTCCTTGGCCAGCATGCCTTCTTGGCCTGCTCTATTCCCATCTCTCACTGCTTGGTTCTTCTGCTTTGACAAATCCTGTCTCTCAGACCTGGTCCCAGATCAGGCTCCATCAGTTACTAGTGATGTAATCCCACCTGGGATTCTATCATGTATTTGCTGATGCATCTCTTTCTCCAGAATGTACACTGAGAATGTAGAGACTTTGTATGTACTGCTCATGTCTGTATTTCTATGGCCTTTAATGGTCCCTGACATATAGCAGGCACTCAATAAGTACTCGTTAAATAAATAAATGTGCCTTGGGCAGTTTACTCAACTTCTGTCAGTTTCCTCCTCTAAACAAATACGGATGATGACATTTTCCTTGCAGAGTGGCTGTAAAGACAGCTCCCAAACCCAGTGCTGTCAGTGACGCCTGATGGAAAAACATGGATCCTACAGCAAAGGCCACCTAGAATTTAATCTGATGGTTTTAATTTAAATGAACTAGGGCAAGCCAGTTGGCCTCGCTGAGTTGTTTCCTCACCTGTAAAAATGAGAGTAGTAATATCTATTTCATAGAATTGTTATGGGGAAATATGTTCCCAGGAGGACTCAAGAAACTGTAAGCTTTGGAATGACATTTCCTACTTCTCCTGCTTGCCTGGTGATTCCAACCAATAGCCTTAAACTCCTCCCTGCTGGCCTGAAATGGTTATGCACTTTGAGTTGCTCCCGAGAGTGGCACCACCTCGGCTGCTGGATGCTACTTAGGTACAGCCAAGGTAATGCAGGGACTCTTCTAACATCCCCTTGAATGAGAAAGACACAACGTTGCACATTTTTTTTAGATGGTGTGTTTAAATAACAGATGAGATCACTTGAATATACTATTAAGGTGCTTAACATTTTCTCTGATTTATCTTCAGTGGCCTTTACAAGGGGGAAAATGCCCATTAATTAAATTCAGAGATATCAGAACTGCTAAGGGAATTGTTCTGTACACCAGTATCATGAACAAGAAGTAATATAACCTTTACAATGATATTATTAAAGTGATTTAGAATATTAAAAATGTGGAAAGCAAATAATGACAGGAGATGTGGGCTAGGAAAAATAATGGCCCCAAATCTTTCTGAAGAGGAATCACAAATGCAGGTATTTAAGGGGTGCGATGGGTGACTTGAGAAATGTCAGAGGCCGTAAGCGTGATGATGGCTGTCAGATGTGATAATGGTTTATATGATAGACACTATCCTAAAATAGAGAGCCAAGTTTGGTGCTTTTGATAGAGCTAAAGGATGCTCTTAACTGTCGATTTTTATTTTCTTCTGAGGGAAAATGGAGCTAGATCTCTGCCTCCCGGACACTCCCTGAGCTTTGCAGATTGACATGTGTCTAACCTCTTTAGGTCAGAGAGGAGAGAGAAGAAACAAGGCCAACGTCAACTAATTCTGATGTATATTGAATTATTCATTCCAGCAGTCAATGTCCAGATAATAAAGTGTTTTATTAAATGGAGAAGACAGAGGGATGAAATGAGAGGAGCGAGGCTAAGTAACGAGCACAGGCAAAGCAACAAAGGCTAAAACCTTGTGTAATATTCTCTTCTGAAGAGGAGAGGAGAGGTTTTGCTAAAAGGAGGAGGGCTAATGGGATGATTTTGAGAAATTTTACAGCAATGAAGTCTGTCAGGTTAGTAATTATCCAATGTTTAGAAAATTAATTTTTGAGTTCTTTAAAATGGAATAAAGCACTACTAATTTTCTGCAGAGGATAACTCCGTAGGATGATGGTTAAAACTTAGATGACTTAATGTCTTCCATCTGTAACTTGTTTCTTTCTATCTCATTAATTCAAGCTCACAAGCATCATCTTTTGCTTCGGTGACCAAATTACAGAATCACTGACAACTTCACATCTTATGTTCAAGAATTCTTTTCCTGGGAACTCCCTTTTAATGGTACACACTTTAAAAAAACCCCAGAAAAACACAACAAAAACACTAACCCTACTATAGTTAGTTTCAGGTCAATATTCACTTAATCATCCCTCAAATCACTTCTAATGCTTTTGTGATCCTTAATAAAATAGTCATGTGTAATACTGCACCAGCATTTTACTATTTCTCCCAATATTTCAGCTATAAATGTTACAGTTCATGTATGTGCACAACTGGACACAGAGAGAAATAATGCAGTAGAACACACTCACTACCCACCAGACACTGTCTTAGCTCCTATATATATCACCTCAAATGAGCCTCCCAACAGCCCCTTAGGTGGAGATGCTTCCTATTCTATAGCAGAGGACCCTGGGACTCAAGAAGTAGAGTAATTTGTACAAGGCCCCAGTTCATAAGTGATAAGATTGGGATTCTAGCCCATGTTTGTCTGGGCAATCTACAGAACATTCCTTTGGTGGTTCTGGGGGTAAGGGGCAGGGGTTGGGGTAGACATAAATGTTGATGGGGAAAGGAGAAAATAAAAACTTTAATTTGTTGTTTTATCATTAATGGGTCAACTGGTAGATGAAATTCAATTTTCGCTTCGATGTGGCTGAATGTAACCCACGGAAACTATTCCTTAAGACCAGTTGTGATCTTAGTAGTATCCTAAGTTTTGTGGATCAGAACTCTCTGTCCAAAAGCCTATGAACAGGAAAGAATGAGACAAAATTAAAGAAGCATATTGAAGAAAGACTACGATATAATCTTCTATAACCGTTCTTTACTCTGGGAGTGACTGGTACGGGTCAAGATCTTCTTACTTGTGTCCTGGAAGTTGACGTCATTGCCGTTGTATGCATTCTTCAGTTTGTTGGTCATCACACGCAGAGCCATGATCTGCTGTCGGATGAAAGTGTCAGGCCGCGTGATGTCCACGTCCACCTCGGGATTGTTGATCTGGTTAGTCAGCCCGTCATTCATGATCTCGGGCAGGTACCTGCAAGGCAGAGGGGCAGGGAATAGAGAAGGGCAGGACAGCAGGAACCCACATTCTGCCATGCTGTCTCTAACAGCGAGCCCAGACACCTGCCAAAGACTGGATTTAGTTATGGAAAACTTCCCCAAAGGTAAAAAGAAGGAATACATTTTCTCAGAAGGGGATGTGGCTCAAATGGTTTCTGACCAGTTTTTTTAAATGGCACTGAATTCTTAGGTAGGCTTGCCTACAGATGCTAAACTGGGGACCTATAGAAATCATTACTTAAAATTAACTGCTCTTTCCTCCTTCCATCCCAAATGTTACATAACTCAAGTCGAGGACTCGACAGCTTCCTCAGTTCTCCTATTAATTTTGGTAGTAAAGACTGGACTTATAATTTACAGATGAGCTGAGAGTTTTCTTGAATGAGGATGCTTTTTCTTAACTGAGAAGACCCTACCTCAGATTTTAATCAGAAGAAACTTCTGGATATTAAAAAAAAAAAAAATCTTTGGGATGTTTTAGGATTTACCATTGATTATTGGAATGTTTGAGTGACTATTAGGGTTTTCATTCTGTAATAGAATCTTGGGTTTAATTTGGTAGATTTACCAATATTCAGTAAAACAGAAAGGTAAAATCTAATGGTTTTGAGCTTCATATTTCTTTTAATTGTACCAAAATGTCCAGTCCTTCACAAATGGATAAGGAAAATGTGGTATATATACACAATGGATACTACTTAGCCATAAAAAAAGAATGAAATTCTGCCATTCATAGTAACATGGGTGAACTTGGAGAAAATTATGTTAAGTGAAATAAGCCAGGCACAGAAAGAGAAATGCTGCATGTCCTGTGGGAGCTAAGAAACAAAGAAAGAAAAAAAATGTAACAAAACATTGAACTTTCAGAAGGAGAGAACAGACTTATAGTTGGTGCAGGTGGGAAAGGGGTAGGGGGTAGGGAGGACAGGAGTAGCTGGGTAAGGGACACAGGAGGTAATTACCATTTGTAATGATGAACATGCTAATAATATTGATTTGATCATCACCTACTGTACACAAATGCCAATAGTTAACTCTGTACCCCATAAATATGTCTAAATAAAAATAATAACAGTAAAATAAAAAATTAAATTAAATTAAAAAACAAAAAAACCAAAATTGTCAGTCCTTCAACGTAAGCTGCCAAACTGCCTAGGTGTATTTCTACAAGTGGAGACTAAAGAACGTGGACACATGCTTGGTGCCCTCTCGGACTCCTTTTTACTTTCATGACCTGTCAATTTTCCTCCCTTCAAGGTGTCCCCCTTCTCTGGCAGAATCTACTGCCTGCATTCATCTTATGGTTGTCCCTCCTACAGGTGTTCCTTGTCCAGCACGCATTTTCCCATTTAAGTCCCAAATATCCTTACAGACCCAGGCCAGTTCTCACTTTCTCCTCAAGATATTTTCCAGCTTTCAGGAATCTGCCCACACATTTGTGGAGCTGCCAGGTTTAGATGGGTATTTTGTGCACTGCACAAAGTCGCCCCTCCGAGCCAAGGGAGTGAGTTGGTGCTGACACCCAGCCTCAGTTCTGTGGGCACCAAGCCATGCACCTGCAGGGCAACTGGTCACCCAAAGGGATGACTTTTTCTTTTTTTGGCAATCTTTTTATTTCAGAAAATTTCAGTGTATATAAAAGTAGAGATTATAACATAATGAACCCCTATGTTTCCATCTGGGTGCCTTTTTAAAATTCCTACAAAGGTGCTATATTTGTCTGTGTCCTGGTAAGAAACAGATGGTGCATTCAAAAGGGTAATAACAAGAGTTTAAAGAAGAATCTATTCACAAAGATGTGGACAAGGTTAAAGGAAACCAGCACAGAGTGGTAAAGTGCCCTGGGGCTGGCAGCAGGAGAAGGGGCCATAGGTGGAGAAGCTGTTACCAGAATGCACAAGAACTGAAACTGCAGAGAGGCACCAAATGACACATGACCTGACAAACCAAGGCCTGTCCCGGATGGAGCCAGAGGAAGGATACCCTGACCTCTTAGTCCCTCCCCCTGACCTCCAGCAGCTGCCTCCCATTGGCTGAGCCCAGTGGAAGCCAGTGGGCAAGGAAGCCCAGGTAATGGAGCTTGTAGAGGTCCTCCAGGGTACAGGCGAGGGTGAGGGGACGAGAGCGGATCTCCGGGAGGATCAGAACCTCCAGCACTGGCACCCTACAGGCTGGCGGCAGCCCTGCCTAACTGCTATTCCTGTTATTCTCCTGTGGCCTCTACCGTTGTTGCTCGAAAGCTGAAAAACTTTCTTGCCTCTATTTTGTCATTTCTATTTACATATTCTCATAGAATATCCTTATGCTTAAAATTCTTCCCCTTCCTGCAAGTCATTGTGCAAGTTTTGGAAACCGAAGGCTTTGCCCATCAGCCTCCAAAAGAAAAACTGCAGAGAGAAACTTTGATATTTAAGCCATTTTTCAGGTATGGAATCTTACGCATGATGTATTTGTGTGTGGATTGGTTTGCCCATTTTAAATCAGAGGTCTCCTGAATAAGCTCCAGGTTTTCTCTTCATCCATATCTTGAACAAAATCAACTTCACAATAGTCATTAAATAATGAATAATAAAACACACAGAGTGCATTGTAAATTCTTTCCCATGAAGCTTCAAGTATTTACTGCCCTAAAAAATACCCTAATTGAAATTTTTAAAAGCCACGAACCCATATATCTTTGTCTTTTCAGTAAAGCATAACTTTATTCCTGTTTTTTAATATATCTGGTATATAAATAAATTCTTGTTTGATTCTGAGATTGTCTTCCTGATATAACTTCTGAAATGTGACACTAGACTGACTTTAATTGACATGCAATTAAATGTGCCAGGCTCCATAGCTCTACCTAATTATTACAGCCCATTGGAATAAACAATAGCAAATGTGGGACCTCCTTTGCTGACAAAGGAGTTGAGAGGGGCTGAAAGGTGACGATTGATTCTGGTGTTGCTTCTCCACATTTTGGAAAATGACTCCAGCAGCGGTACCGATGCTGAGTCAGAGGCGGGCTTTACTTCTTTCTGATGCCGTGTGCACTGCATGGCTAGTGGAGACTCGTTTATCAGCAGCTCACTGCGACAGCTTACATGGGAATGCTACCCTTGGGAGTCTGAACATCCAGCAACAATAAGAGACTGCCAAGTAAACCCAGCCTCTAACTGTGCCTACTAATGCTCAGCCACTTATAATAAAAACAAGTAACAATGCGCCCGCATCCTCAAGAACCTTTTCTCCTTTTGGTGTATTCAAAGGGTGACTTTTCAGGCAATGTGGAAACTTAAATCTAAAGCAGTTGAAAAGGAAAATGCCATTTTGCTATTTCAGAGGTACATCCTGAGGCTGAATCTATGGATGTCCATTGTGCAGCCTGAATGACGGGGCTGTGAAAGCTCAGTTCAGCACCAGGATCTCATGGGCCCATGTTTTGTTGCTACTTGTGTTTGGTCTCTTTACAGAACGCTCATATCCTGCAAGAACAGCCACATCTTTGAGCCCACAATGCTCTTCCTTTTCTTAGATTTCACATAGCTGTTGGACATGACAGTGTTCTATTTTTGCACCATCATATCTGTGGGAGGCAGAGAAGGAGAATCTTGGCTCACGTAGCCCAGGCTGTATGCATGTTTACCTGGGGCAGGGAGAACCCAGAAGTGAGGGCAAATTGGAGAGTGGAACAGGGTGTTGTCACGTGCCGGTGCTTCATGCTGTGGCAGGTGGGTGGCACCCACCAACAGCCAAGCAGAGCTTCCCTATTTGGGTTGCCTTCTGTTTTACAAGAGCATGGCTAGGAGCTAAATCTTTGGCAGTTTTGCAGACTTGTTTTTCTTCCCATCTAATTTCAGATTGTTAATGTAGGCTTCCTTGATTACATCCGAACATTAAAGCTGGTTAGGGTGGAAGAGTCTCATGGGGATTTAGGGGAGGAGGCTGATCCATTCAGGATCCTGTGCAGTACCCTCATTGGCAAAGGGGCAGTTTCTGTCCCCTGAGAGACATTAAACACGACTCGTCCCGCAGAAGTTTCCCACCAGCCAACCACAGCACCTGCCATTCTCACCATCTGAAATCACTTCTTATAGTTGAGCCAATGCTTCCAGAAGGACCCTGTCAATATATGAAGGTGCTTGCTGATAGGAGAGGCCCGTTACCTTACCAGCATTCAGTCAGCACTTCCCAGGCCACGTTAATGCTGGTAGTTGTTCAGAGGTAAGGAGCTGCATATTGAGGGAAAGGGTCACACAACTCTCAAGATTTAATGGGACTAGAAGCTAGTCAAAGTCTGAGACAAGAGGTACCAGCAAGGGAGGTTAGCCCAGTGGTGCCCGGTGGGGTTAATGAGGGAGCTGAGGAAGAAAGGGGGTAAAAATGGGGTGCCTCGGTGCCGGCCCGAGTTTGTTCAGGTGCCTGGCACTTCCTCCTGCCTCAAGGCACAACTGGGAGAGCCAGGTGCAGGCAGCTCCAGTACCGTTGCCACAAATAAGCTCCTTTCAGTACATACCTCTGGAGCGATTCCTAATCCTAAACTACATATTCAGTCATCTTCAGCCTGCTTAAGAGTCTTACTGATTTAAGCAGAAGTCATGCTAATACAGATCCCAAATGCCTTATGAGCAGGCCTGAAATTTAAAAATCTACAGCATGTTTTCTTCAACCTGTTTGTTAGCAAAACTTCATCTGATCTGAAATGAAGCTAGTTATAGTCCTCATTCATCCCACTTAGTGTGAATATTAATAAATTTTGCTACAGAAATGCTAATGGGTTTGACTGTAGGTTGCAGCCCCAGACCTCACAGGGAGTATTCCATAATATACAGCATACTCACTGTGGTGATTTTCTAAAATCCAAAACACCCTGAATTCTGAGGTACACATGGTCTCCAGTGTCTCAAAGAAGGGATTGCAAAGAAGCTTTCTTAAAATCTAAGTCTTAAACTTCATGCACATTACAGATGGTGACTATTTAAAACAAACAAC